ACCCAGCTCCTTCCTGCTTGGGCTGTGGCTTACCTGACAGACTTTCTGGCGGCCACTGGGCTCTGGGATACCCCTCCTAGGGTCCTGCTCTGGCCTCTCCGAGCTGAGAGTGGCCTGGGACGCTCGGGGACGCCTGACTCCCGGTTCGTGCACAGCGATGCCAGAGGCGGTGCCTGTTTAGAGGCAGCCTTGGCCAAACTGTCGCGATAGCTGCCGCCTGGGTGTGGCGGGGATGGAACCGGCCGAGGCCTCTGGCCCTACTTCCCCCTCACCCACAGCCACTGTCCCAGGCTCCCTGGCCCCTACTGGAGCGCCGGCGTGCAGCGCCCCCTGCAGGGGAGGCGCCCAGAGCTCCGCGAGCTCCTTCCCCGGGCTGACTGCTGCCCAAGCCGGCCTCCTTCCTTCCTTTCACCCCCTTCCTGCCCCCTCCTCCCTGTCTTCCTCCTGCTTCTCCTCCTCCTCCTTCCTCCCTCTCCCCCTCCTCTCACCGCGGGGAGGCGCCGCACACCGAGGCTGCCAGGCCTTGGGCCGAATCAAGTTGTCAGCCCGGCTGGTCTGGGGCGGGGTGGGGGGAGGGGGCCAGGACAGGAAAGCTCAGGATTAGCAGGGAAAGCGTGTTCCAGGTAGAAGACAGCTGCCGGACTCCAGAGCGGCAGTGAGCACCCTTTCCAGGCCTGTGAAGCCGGGCCACCCTGAGGCCTGCAGTCCCTGAAGGCTGATATCTGGCTCTGGATTGGGTTTGGGGAACCCATGAGCTGGCGTCAATAGGATGTCACATTAACCAGGCCCAGGATTCCCGTAAATGTAATATAACCAGCCCTGAAGTCAGGCCTCACGAATGGCCTCGGGCACATCTGAATCTCCTTGTTTCTCAGTTTTCCCTTCTCTTAAATGGGCCCCTGATAGACTCACCCCATAGGACCCTGGGAGGATTAAATGAATAAACAGTTGCCAAGGCGGGCAGCAGGGCCCTGCTCACTGCTGGGGAGGACTGCGGGTGGCTGGGAACTGTGTGCCTTCCTGCTGTCTGATTGACCCCACTCCTTCCCTCCAGGTTTATTTTATGAAAGTTTCCATTCAGGCTCCTTTGGTGACTCATGAAGAAACATCAGAACTCTGATATAGGATTGTGTGGCAGCTCACGAGCTGAGCCCCGTTGGCCTCCTCCCTGTCCACTTGCCCACTGGCCAGCCTCAGCATGTCCTTCTCTGAGGGCACTGCTTTCTTGGTCCTCCCACGCACCTCATACGTGGGATAGGTGTCTGGCCCCTTTGGTGCTAGGCCTCCCTGCACTACTGTAAGATGTGGGACTGGGTATCCCTGCTCTTTGACAAGAGGGCGAGTCTGCCTTGCATGGGTTTCTTGGTGCAGACCCCCCCACACACACACCTCGTAAAGACCTTCTGCTCTCTGGTCCTCTCTTCCAGTTTATATATTGGGGATCTCTGACTGCTGTTCTAAGGAAGAGGAAGATGGAAGGCCTAGGACACACCAAAGGAAAATTTGGGAGCTGGCGGGTCACACAGACCTCAGCTGGGCACAGTCACACCCCTGAGGCCAGCTGGTGGGCAGGTTTCCCCATCAGGGTGCCCAGAACCTTCCCTGATCCTAGGCCTGGCACGGACAGCCAAATTGTGGAATGATGAACCCCGAGGGGATGAATGACAGTGGCCACACAACTGCAGCAAGAAGAATCCTGCTGCTGGAAGCAGGATGTTTGCAGCTGTTCCTGAGCACACTCACATCTCTGCTGTCACTCATTATTTAGGAGGGTCTTTGTTGTTTGTTTCTATATTTGTGCTTTTGCCAAACCAGCATCCCTTCCCCCTTTCTGTAGAGCCAGGTAGTTCACACGGGCTGACTCCAACTCTGCCCTAGAGACTGACACACACAGGATGCCTGGCCAGTCGGAGCTCTGCATTCCTCTGGCCACACTGATTAGCGACCAGGGCTGGACCAATGAGAATTATCCTCAGAACTTTTGCTAGAGGATCTGGGAAGGAGGTACTTAACTGGTAGGAATGTCGGCCTGGAGATACTGGCAAATACCTCATGAAGAATGAAGTCAGCACAGAACAAAGCAGAGCCTAGCAAGGGGGAGAGCCAGAATCCCAAGGAAGGCTCATAAACACCCGGATCCAGCCATGCCTAAGGCTAGATATGCCCCTTGGCTGTTCATGTGAATCCCTAAATTTGTTTGAATCCATGAATTCTTTCTGTCCTGGCAATTTGAATTGTGCTTTACTTAACAGCTACATTTTATCTCAATGGACTCTGGTTAACCAGAGATAGTAGCCATCATTTCCAAATGAGACCTCAGGCTTCAGGTCAGATGGCTCATCCCAGGTGGAACTGGCCTACTAGCATCTCCCGTGAAGTCTCTGACTGGGCTGCTGCCCCCCAGGCCTCCTGGCCGGTCAATCTGTGGCCACCCAGCCCACTGGTGGTCTTGACTGTGTTCTCTGGACATCTGCTTTCTGGGTCTTTCCATACCCATAGGGCCTGGGATGAAGCATCTCAGTCAATGTTTGTGGAAAGAGTTCACGAGTCGTGAAGGCTTTGTGGCTTGTTGGGGTTCACGAGTCGTGAAGGCTTTGTGGATTGTTGGGGTTTGCAGGGTTCCTTTCCCACACTGCCACCCCCCCCCCCCTTGGCCTGTACTGGCACACAGCACAGCAGCCCCTTGCCTTCCACTTCTTCTGATCTGCTGCCATTCAGCCCCTTCCCTAGGTGTTGCATGGATGACAACAGGGCCAATCTTAAGGAGTCAGGTGAGCACTAATGCACCCTTCTGGAAGCCCCAGCCTCACTTCTAGGGCTCAGGTGCTCTGGATGCTTCCAAGAATACACCCTGAAGGGCCACAGCTGCTACCCACCAGCAGGCCAGAAGTGGGGTAAGGATGCACAGGAGGAGAGAGGCTGCTGCTGGGATGCAGACGGTGCACCTCCCAAAATGTGCAGCCAGCACATCTGCCCAGAGGAAAAGGGAGGCCCAGAATCACAAGCTTTGTTATTTTTACTTTTTGGTGTGAGGGGCCATCTGTGCAGGTTTGCACTTGTCTGGAAGAAACCAGGATTTGTAGATGAAATTCAAATCAGGCTCACTTTGCAGGCTGTCATACTGAGACTTTCTCCAGGAGCTGGGGTGGCAGTGCTGATATTTTTATAGAAGCAGAGGGATGCCAGTGTCCGGCAGCTGTTTGGGGTAAGTGTGGAGCCTCCCACCACAGTGTTGGCTCCACCAAATGCCTGGAGGGCCCTGGACCCCTAGCTGTGCAAATCAGCCCCAGATGCCCCGGGAGGGGATCTGGGGGGTGCACAAAGTCCAGTGAGGGCAGAGTTCTTTGGTGTCAGAAATAGGGGTGAGGGTGGCCGTGAGTCCTTTCCAAACTGCCTCACTCAACTGCAGACCCCTCTTGAAGATTTGCCCAGGGCCCCATTTTTAATGGCAGGTCACCCTCCAGTCCCTGCTGGGAAATTCCAGAACTACCCCATCGGAGCCGCAGGTAGGGATGGCGAAGTTGGAACTTCCCTCTAGGGTCTTCCCACAAACCAGAACTTCCTGGAGGGAAGAGGCATGCTGCAAAAGGACACCAGGAAAGTTTGTCCAGTCTCCTCCTGGAATCATCTGTGTAAGAGTCCTGCATAGATCCCTCCCTTAACAGTTGTCCACTGTGCACCACCTCCCCTCTCCTCACACGCTAGTGAAGTTTTTATCCAATAATGACATAGACGGCAGATGTGCACACTTGTCTCTCATGCATAGCAGGAAGCATTGGACGTTGGCAGGATGCTCTTCTCAGGGGCTTTTCCTGGGCCAGATGTGCAGCAGCCCCCTCATAGGGTGGCATCTGGAAGAAGGAGGGGGAGGGAAGGCCAGGAGGTTTAGCACATGTAAGTTGTGAAACTCTTTAGTGCCATTTCTGACAACTGGTCCTGTGTCCTAGGCCGGGGATGGGCAAATGATTTATGATTGTTCCGATCATTGTCATACCCCACAACAGATATATCTTTTTTCTTTACTCCAAGTAATGCAATGTAATAATAGGCAGGGGGCAAGAGAAAGGAAGGAAGGAAGGAAGGAAGGAAGGAAGGAAGGAAGGAAGGAAGGAAGGAAGGAAAGAACTCATAACCTATTTCTCTTTTTTCTTCAAAAGGAACCCTCGAGTAAGGATGGGCTTTGAGGGATCTGCAGCTCAGAATTATTGCCTCAAACACACACATCCACACACCCTGTCATTGTACCCAAAGAAAGGGCTCAATCCCAGTGTCAGAGTGCCTGTGTGTGGGATCATAGCAAAGCAGGATGGAGAAGGCAGGGGCTGGGCACTTGAGGAGCAGTGGAGCCAGGGAGAGTGAGGGTACAAAAATGATAGGCAGAGGGGCTCAGACACTGGTTTTCAGGGCCTTGCTGGGCTTCAGGCTTCTGCTGGGGCTGCATAGCTTGGGCAGATAGACTTTGTTTTTTTGTTTCCAACAGAAACAAAAGGATGAAATCGTTAGCATCAATTGGGCATATTTGGTGTCGATTACTGACATGCCATTGTGATGAAGATAAAAGAAATATAATTAATAAACCCCACCCGCCTTTTGCACTTCCATGAAATCCTTATTGACATCCACATCTATCTAATCCTGCAGACCAGCCACCCCTTTCAGCTGCCCTGGACATCACTGAAATGAACAGTGCAGAAATCACTTCAGGACCTGGAAATCCATCTTTTCCAGCCATGATTTGTCTTCCAGCGCCTCAGTTTTTTTCCATCCACACCCCAGGGGCAGAATTAAGAGAGGGTTTTCTAGCAGGGGAGTGAACAATAAGGAACCACCAGGAACCACCAACCTGCCCCATGGCAGAGGGATTCTGGGAGAGGCCCAAGGTCCCTCCCACCCAGTGTCCTTCCTCAGGGCCACCTGCAGGGCAACCAGGAGCCTTCCAAGCCCCAACCTGTGGTGAGGGGGGGCTTTTTTTGGGCACCACCCTGGAATCTCACCTGCCCCACTCTGGCCTTGACACGCCTCAGGTGGATTGAGTCAGAAGTTACTCTGAGGACCTCCTGGAGGCCAGGAGGGCCAGGGGAAGGTGGGGGTCACTTGCTTACCAGCTTGACTTCTGCCTTGCACCCTGCACATTGTCACCCTCAGCTTCTACCCAGCCTGGCATCTAGAGAAATGAAACTGTCTTTGCATAAAAGGAAGCAGGGGAGGAGTTCCCGGAAGTGTGATTGCAAACCTGAAAACACCCAAACCAGTCTTTCATCACCATCTGGAGGACAAGAGCTTGAGGAGAAACAGAAGGCAAAGTGTCGCCTCTGAGAGGCTGGGCTCTCTCCCTGGTGCATGCTGGGAGAACGTGCTGCGGCCTCCTTGCCTCTGACCTAGGCTACTGGCTGAAGACTTGCAGCCCAGCTGGACTGATAAGGAAACTGAGGCCACAGAGCAGGTAAGCAACAAGCTGAATGGTATTAAAACTGAGACTCTTGCCTAAATCCAAGCATGGCAAACTCAGAGTCTTTGGGAGACAGGCAGGTAAAAGAACATGTCTTTGAACAATAAGACATTTTGTACTGAATATTAGCTGTGGTCACTTCGTCTGTGTGTCTGGAAAGAAATAGGCTCTCTTTGCCATTTTCTTGAACTACTCCGCCCTTTTGACCTATATTGTTTTCTCCCCCTTGGAGGTCACAGATACAAGAAATCTGTCTACTCCAAGAAGATGTGCCAGGTGTATGGGAAGATGAACAACAATGGCGCCTGAGACCACACATGGTGGCACATGGTAGGGAGCAAAGAGGACTCTGGCACAGTGCCGACTGCATGCTCTGCAGAGCTAGGAGCTATATCTGAGTGGGAACTCTCCCGGATTTTAAGTGTTGGTATAAAGCAGGTGGAAAGGGTGGGGTATAGTTCAGTGGAGTGTGCCTGCCTGGCAAGTGCAAGGTTCTGAGTTTGATTCCAGGTACTGAAAAAAACTAAATAAATAAACCACATGGAAAAGCCCTTGGCATCAAAAGCACAGCAAAACTCTATAGCACACCTGGCTCTCCAGCCCTGATGTGTGTGTGCTTTAGCCTGATTATTGTGTGACTTCTCAGAGCCTGGAGGAGGAATAGAAGATGCAAGATGTCAGGGGAACAAGTCACCATCAGACAGAGACTGAACGCTCATTGTCTATAGTAAGAGGGCCTTTGGTTAGGCAGTCAGCAAGAGGCACACAGGGCCTTTTCTGGATGGCTCAAGTTGTGGCTGCTAGAATATATTAATGTTGAACTTTTTGTTTTTCTTAAAAAGGATGAGCCAAGTGTGGTCATGCATATGTGTAGACCCAGCATTCGGGAAGCTGAGGCAGGAGGATCTTGAGTTCAAAGCCAGCCTGGACAACACAGAGAGACCCTGTCTCAAAAAAAGGGGAGGTCTATTCCGGCCCCTGTCTGACAGTGCAATGGAGACTTGCCTCTGTGATGTGATCTTGTCCTTGTACTTCCTGCCAAGAATTGGAATTCGTTGGTGTGGAGCTCTTTTTCCCTGGAAAGGACCAGAACCAGGGCTTGCTTTATTTCTTTTATTGTCTTACTATTCAGTCTTAATTTTGATCCTTTGCAAGTAGAAGATAATCTATATTCTTCTGGGTGTGAAAAAGTAAGATGAATAATGAGAGTGACTAGGTCGGAATCAATCCTTCTATTCATATACGGAGCAAATTTTTTATAGCAAAACATTTATTGGTACATTTTAGACATCCATAATGATAACACTCATCATAGGTACACAGCAAATATTCAGTGAGCACCTATTTTGTGTCAGATAAATTGGCAGATAATTACTAAGAACTAAGGTCACAAAGAGAGTGACTTTTATGTGCACTTTCCTTATTTTATTTTTGAGGCAAAACCTCGCTTGTTGTCCAAGCCAGCCTTGAATACCTGGGCTCAATTGAGCCCCCTGCCTCAGCCACCTTAACAGTGAGAACTGTGGGCACCAACCACCACATGTGCCTACTGCATGTGCATTTTAAACCATTTACAAATGATTCAATGGAATAAAACAGCCCTGTGGAAAAACAGCAAATATTTTCATTTACTTATATATAAGTATGTGGAGGGAATAAGTCTGGAATAAGGTACATGATTTTAATACCAACACTGTTAAGAAAGTTTTTGGGGAATTTTCACTTTCTATGATGTACACATTTGTAGTATTCTAGTTTATTATAACTAACAAGCTTTTACATTTGTAACGAGTGAAATCTATAAAGTTATTTTTAAATAGCTATTTTAATGGGAAGAAAAGCTGGCAGTACCAAGTGCAGGAACAGATGTGGGAGGTGGGAACTGAGCCTCCCTAGCTGCGAGTGTAAATGGGTGTCATTTGGGGAAGGATGCAAAAGCACACGCCCTTTGACCCAGCAGTTCCTCACCTAGCAGTGTGCCCTGGAGGAATGCACATGGGTGGCACACATGTGCCCAAGATGTCAACCACAGCACCATTTGTGTTGGTGAAAAAAGGGAAGTCTCCTTGTGCACCAGGTTGGGGGGAATACTCACATGAGGGAAGACTCTACTGCAGTTCAGTATGAGCGAATGCCGCTATGTAAGTACAACATAGATAAATCTCGAAAATAATGTGAAAAAAATAGCAAATGGCCTGGGCATGGTGGTGCACGCCGGTAATCCCAGAACTCAAGAGGCTGAGGCAGGAGGATTGCCATGAGTTTGAGGCCAGCCTGGGCTAAGTGGGGAGTTCAAGGCCAGCTTGACCTGCATAGCGAGACCCTGTCTCAAAAGTCACAAAAAAGAAAATGACATCGTTATATATAAGGTTTGGATTGGTGTGATTTTTTAAGCACTCAGAGCAGTGCTTGCTGTACTTCTATTTATTGCTTACAGATCCAGATATAAGTGATAAAAGCCTGAAAAATAAGAGTGGGAATTATACACAACCATTTTCTTCTGAGAAGTGACAAAGGACCATGAGATTGGGGAGGGACACCCGTGGGCCTTCAGTTTGCCCGTCATGGTATATTCCTTAAAAGAAAATGGTATGAAGCCAATTTGGCAAACCTGAGTGATGGATCCACAGGTAACCCTTTGCATTATCCTCTACACTTTAAGACTTTTGGGACCCTGATAGACACGAACACATCTCATTGTTTGGGTCTGTATTTCTCTGATGAGAAATGTGAGTTGGATAGTTTTCATGTGTGTGGCAGCACTTGGCATTTTCTGGCTGGTGTTAACAAGGGAAGATGGTGGAAGGTGTGCTGTAGGGAAGAGATGGAAGGTGGAGGGCCCTTCCGGCTGCACACTCAGCTGGGAAGCCAGAGGAGCTTGGGGTAGGGATGGGATGTGGAGCTGAGGGAGGCAAGAGGAGGTGGTGAAGACTTTGGAGTGGTGAGCTTGCCCAGGGACGGGCTTTTCAGCCTCTGATGAGTGGCAGAAGCATGTGGTGGAGCTATCCCCCTGCTGACTAGGTAGTGAAAGAGAAGAGGAAGGAACTAGTGTCCACTGGCCCCTTCAAGGGCTCACACCCAGTGATTTAAACCTTCCCACCAGGCCCTTCCTCTTAAAGCTTCCCCCTCTCAATGGTGCCAGGCTGGAGACCAGGCCTTGAACACATAGCCTTTGGGAACTTTCTAGATGCAAACTATAGCAGATGGATAAGGGCAGAAGCCCGCTGGAAGTTGCTACACTTGGGAGTGACAGCAGGTATAGACGATGATTTCAAGGGGGCTGCTCCTACAGGAGAGAGGGAGGTGGTGCTTTTTCCTGCAGAAGAGGTGCAGGTTGGAGAGGAGGAGACCAGGGCCAAGGATGCATCAGAGCCAACCACCAAGTCCTCCCTGGCTTCTGGTGCTCTCGGCTGGGCTGTGCAGGGCACACAGGAAGCTTCCCTCAGCACTGTTCCCCAAGAATCTGTGCACAGGGTGAGGATTTGCCCTGGATTGTGAGCCCTGCACAGGAGTTTGTTCTGGATCAAGGCAGAGCATAGTAACGCCAACGTGTTCAGGGGTGGCCATAACAGGGACAGCAGCAGCCATTTCTTACTTCTTTTTAATGTCCTAAGCCCTGTGCTAAGCATCTCCCACACACTGTCCCACTTTCTTTCTCCCTCCATTTCATGGGGTAAATAGTATTTTCATCCTCAGTCCTCATTTCACAGAAGAGGACACGATGCTTGGAGAAGTTAAATGGCAGAGCTGGTTCTCATCCCAGTGAAGAAATGACATCAGGGTGGGCCAGAGGCAGGCTGGACTTCTGCAGGCCTCAAGGTTCAAGGTTACCTGTGCCCAGGCATGGCCTCAGGAGAGATCCGGGCAGTCACTCAGACAGGGCCATTTCGTGTTGGCACAGCTGGCTGTTACTGATGTCCCCGTTAGCTGCCTTCTTGTCCCTCGTGAGCTGCACAGTCATTTCTGATGGCATGAAGAAGTGTAACTCCACACTTGTTTCCTCAGCCTCTGCCTGCAAACTGGCTCCAAGCATGTCGCTGTCACCCTTCTCTACCAACCCGGCTTCTTGCTACTGGGGAGACCACACCCATCTTCCATTTGCTGTGCAAAACCTCCTGGTGACATGGGCTCTGTCACTTCTTCTGCCTCATCTTCCTCTACCCCAGTGTGAACACTTTTTGTGCTTCCCAGGGTCACCTGCTCATACCACAGCCCTTCGGGGATTCCAGTTGTTTACCTGTCTTACCAGAGTGCTCACCTGAGCTCCTCATCCACAGCCTGTGCCTTAGTCTCCAGGACTGGTGGTGCCCAGCACACAGTCAGGGCTCAGTAAGAAGGCATCTCAGACATACAACTGGGAAAAGCCAGCATTAGACGTGAAGCTCCCTGCACAGGCGCTAGGGTTTTGGAGCTGTCATTGATCAGGAAAATGATTTAAAAGGGGGATGGGATGGTGAAGTATTTATTTAATAAAGGACCCTGTTGCCCTCTAGGCAGAGGCACCTGGGAAACAGTACCTGGTAAGCCAGTGAAATTGAGCACATTAGAGTCTTCTGGAGTTAAATTTGGAATTAGGATGAGGTAGGAAAAATCTATGCACATTGAATACAAAATGCAATTGTCTGTCGGTGCAGGAACTGAAGTATCTGCAGCAAATTATATTTAAGACTCTATTGTCACAGGCAGATTAGCTAATGCTTGATTTTAAGTATAGGCTTCTAATGCTATTACTCCTGGTTAACTCTGCCTGGCAGGTAACCTTGTGGAACAAATGACTGCATTGCTTGAATAACGTATTTGATCAAATAGGACAATTCTTTCAAAAATTGAGTTCTCTGTAGCAATTTGAGACCTGTAATCAGCAAATTAGATGATTACAGCAGGGATAAAAATAGTCTTCTAACAATGTCCAAGGTATAAATGTGATTTGAATTTCAAAATGTTGAGCATCTGGTAGGAAAATGCACGGTTGGGTAAATATGACTAGACATTATCAGATTTGATTTTTCCTTCCATTCCTGCTTGGAGGTAGAGCCTAATTTTGCCCAAATAAACTCCAATCTCATTTGTGTCTGAGCTAGAGGACAGCGGTCCATCAGGCACTGCGCTCCACCTCTTCAAGGGCTCCGCAGCTTCCCTTCTGCCAAAGGAGCTGGCAGCCCACGTGAGTCTCCGTGGCATTTATTTATCTGCTGGGTGTGAAATGGCCTTTGAGAAACAGCAGGAAAGGGGGCAATGGGAAGCCTTCCACACCCCCACCTAGAGACTGGGGTTTTTCCCGTTAGGCGTAGTATGCAGAGAACTCTGGTTGAGATCTAGTGAGTGACTTCTGTGACCTGGAGAGACAGGAGGAGGTGGCATGTTCTACCACAATCCAATCCTTCTCCAGGGTGGGCCACTAAGTTACCCTTCATCTCTAACACAAGAACTTTCTTAGTCTTTTGTTATTGTAACAAAATACCCGAGATAAGCCAGGCATGGTGGCGCACACCTGTGATCCCAGAGCTCAGGAGGCTGAGGCAGGAGGATTGCTGAGAGCTGGATGCCAGCCTGGGCTATGTTGCCTGGCCCCAGTGCTAAGGGCCCATAGTGAAGTGAGGCTGGACATTGTGGCAGGAAGCACATGGTGGAGCAGGGAAAGAGGGAGACTGCTGTCATAACAGAGCTCTGCCCCCTAGACCCATCAAGCTATGAACTCAGCCATGATTAATCCATTCTTGAAGTCAGTGCCCTCGTGATCCAATCAGCTCTCAAAGGCCTCACCTCTAAGTCCTGCTGCACTGGGGACCAAGCCTAACATCCAAGCTTCCAGGGCACCTTTAAGATCTAAGCCATAACAAAGCCCGATGGAGGGCCACACCCTCTGCTCTGGCCCTTGTGGGCCTGAGCATCTGCTCACCAGGTACACCTGCCACTTTACCGCTGCCTCTGTTTCATCACCTAGCTGGACAGGATGACAGGTGACCTGCAGACAGGATAGGAGCCAGCCAGGGAAAGCCAGCACTAGCGCAGACTGTGCACTAGCAAATGCACAAGCGCCCCTAAGCGAGGGACCTGATTTTCACTCACTAGCAGCTAAGAGTTTCTGCAGAGCCACAGAAATTATTGATTACTATGGATTTTCTTTCCCATCTGGGACTTGTCCTTCACTAGCACAGATGATTACGAGCTGCCTACAAAGATGCTGACTTCCAGAAAGGCAGCATTCCAACAATTTACCTACCAGCCATTCTTGTTTAGTAACACCCTCTACAATATGATGGCTGGCTGAATAAAAATTTACCTCAGCTGACCTGTCAGATCCATGGTACCTCACATTTCTCAAGCTCTTAAATTTATGAAACTTTGGAAATAGAAAAAAAAAATTTTTGTCATACTGGGGACTGAACCCAGAACTTTCAGAGCTACATCTCCAGTGATTTTCAAACTTTTGAGCCAGGTGTGGTGGTACACAGTTATAATCCCAGCACTCGAGAGGCTGAGGTGGGAAGACCGCCAGGAGTTCAAGGCCAACCTG